TTTCTTTTTCTTTATAGGAAAGTACTTTTCTGACCACTTTCAGCTACTGGATTACTTACACATTAAAGGGCAACAGTATACTCTGATCTCAGGCAAACAATTTTATAGATAGAAAATTGAGCAGGTTAAGACCTTGCAAAGTTTAAAAGACCAGGAGAGTTACCAGAGTTCTAAATAATAATGAGTTAATAGCAGAGTTCAGTGGAGATGTAGCAGTGACCAACAGCAAAAGACAAGCAAATAAACGAGGAAAGACAGTTAAGCAAGGACAGTTACAGATTGTGGTAGAAAAAATGATGGCCATGGATTCTCTCAATGCAACAATCCTCAAAGCTCTGCAGAGACCAACACCTAAGGGTAACTGCATGAGGTCTCTATAAAGACAGAAAAAAGACTCAAAGGTCAAGAGTTTAGAGGTTCCTCTTAATTTTATGTGTCCTCTACTTATGTGCCTATTTATGACCACTCTCCCTAGGAACCTTTTATGTCTAAAGGATAACATACCTGCACTTTTGGGAGATTACTTTGTAACTATAGTTCTTGCTATACCTTTTTAGTAAATACCCTTATCTAGAAGCTAATGGAATTCTGCTGGATGATTGAAATGGGAACGGGCTCACACTAGAAAGGGGCTCAGTAACAACAGTACTAAAAGCTATAATTCTTCAGAGTAACACCTAGAATCCTTCACAGAGCAATAGTCAGCTGCTCCCTAGGAATCCAACCTATGAGAATAAATAGGAGCCAGGGTTATGGCACAGAAGGAGTTCTACAATCCAATGATCCTAGAATTTTTGCAAACTTGTAGATTTTTAAAGCTTAGTGTAATAGTGGCTTCATTGTTTCTGGGGAATGGAACAATCATATTTTACTCTAGAAAATTAATATATTTAAAATATTTAAGACATTTCACATTAAATTCTACATTTATAGCATCCAGAATATTTAAATTGTTGTGCGATGCATTTTTCTGTACTTAAAGGAAATACTGAAAATGTTTCAAAGATCCACAATAGAAAAGAAAGCTTATACATAGAAGCCTTCCATTCTATGGAATAAAAATCAGGTTTAATTATTGACATATAAAAAGAGCTACTTTATAAGATGTTATTAACAATAAAAGATCCTATAGCATAAACTCTGATAACAGTAAAGCTCTAGTGGGTTCTCTCACAAATAAGTCAATGAGGGAAATTTAATAGAAAAGTGGCAGACATGTCACATCACCCCTGAAGACACACAGGACTAAAAAAAAAAAGCCTATGGTATTCTCTTCTCATGTGGAATTTTGTTCCTTCCATTCCCAACCAGACTGACAAATACATGTATACATTTATACATATGCATATATGCTTCATGTGCATGTATTTATATATATATATATGAGATATATTCAGAATATTTCCCCATTAGGCAATCTTTTTAAACATTCAAGAATGATTTACTTCAAGTCTTGGTAGAAAATTCAAGTCATTTCTTATCACTGTAGCAGTGCTTTGCCCATCACTGTTCTTCCTCCTGGCTACATTGCTGAACAGACTGATGGGTACTTCATTATGTCTTGATATTAGGTCAATTCAAACCCAGAGAAAGTGGTAGCTACGGACAAGACAACAGAAATTTTGTCGTTCTGACTATTTTTAGATTCTGATGTGCTTTTTCTGAGATCTACAGCAAGGGAATCAAACATCCAAGTGTGATGGAAGGAGTGGCAGTATTCCACAAGATTAAATAGGAAATTAAGAAAAAACTGTCAGATGACTTGGTGCCTGACTTTTATTTACATACATACATGCACACACACATGTGCTCTCTCACATTTATAAGACAGAGATAATCCAGAAATGCTGCTCCCTTAAATTTTCATTAAAAAGCTAAGTGAATGAGCATGTAACATGAGCAACTAGTGATGAAGACTAAGCCTATATGTTTTTTACAGTAATCAAATAAAGCTTAAAACAAAGTCAAGCTGACTATATCTAATAAGCTATATGTAGAAGTGTGTATCTATAAACAGACTGCATGTTCCCAGAATGCTTGAGGCTAAGAGACTCAATCACTCATTAGGAAAAATTCTCTTGCCTATATTTCCCAGAAAGCCATGGGTAATCCTGCAGTATGCAAATGTTACTGAGCACAGTCTCTAGAGAAGGATATTTCTGGTACAGAAAATTTTTAAAGTGTTTATAAGAATCATAGAGTTTGGCAAGCTATAGGTTGTTTCAGTCAGAAAAAGTATCATCATCATCATCATCATCATCATCATCATCACTACTAACATTTATATAGCGCCTGCTATGTGTCAGGTACTTAATTTTCATTTCATTTGTTCTTCACAGTAACCCTGGGAGGTAGGTGCTATTATTATCTCCATTGTACAGACGAGAAAACTAAGGCAAACAGAAGTTAAATGACTTGCCTAGGGTCATAACAGCTAGTAAATTTCTGAGGCCGGATTTGAACTCAAGTCTTCCTGACTCCAGGTCTTGCACTCTATTAACTTTGCCACCTAGCTACCCTATATCCTTAAAGGCAGGGGAATGAGAGAAATATGAAGAAATGGCCATCATGTGCAGACACATTGAAAGTTCAGCTGTGAGCAGAGTGAGCCATGATGAGGTGGATAAGATGACAGACATTGACAGAGGTTTAGGTAGTGTTGATCTTTCCCAGATGTCCTGAAGCTCCATTTCTCAAGAAGCCAGTACTTGCTAGCTGCTGAACTGAGATTAAAAGTAACTGAGCAGGGACAACTATGGGTGCTAATTTCAAATATCCTGCCCTGGGTGATCTATGTTCTCTTTCCATTGTATTGGGGAGACTAAAGCATTAATTGGAGAACATTTATAACCCTGTTTCATTACATGTAATTGACCTTGATTTCCCTTTCAATTCAATATCTTTTGCTCTGATTTCACAAATCATCTAAGATGGTCTGGCACAGTGGCATTGGTTGAAGACTCACCATTTTAACTTAGAATAGTTACTGGCCCAAAAAGTATCTTCAACCTGGAAAATATCAAAAGGGTCCCAGAACCACATGGGATATGGGAATAGAAGACCTGGCTCTATACTACAAGGTGCTCCAATATCTCAAGAAAGGTGCGATTTTACTGAGGTAGGAAACAGTTTCACCAACACATAGTATAACCCCTCAGCACTCTAGTAGGTGAATTCTTAACTTGTGGCCAAAAATTTTCACCACACAGTGGCTCACTTTTTGTTAATGAGCTTCTTTGAACTCAGCTAGGATGGTCCTTAGACAACTGGCTACTGTTGTACCCATTCTTGAAACCTCTTTAGTTTCATAGGAAGCTGCTAGAACTTTCTCTGTTGATATAGAATTCGAGAACCAGAGTTCACCTCTGTGCCCCAGTGAAGCACTGGAATGAGTCTTAATGGAGGCGTGCTGTATGATAATCAGACATTAGTAGTAAGCAGTTCATATAAGCTGCTGCAATTAGAATTACTTTTATACAACAAAGTTTTAGCTATTTCCTAAAGAAGCAAGATAGCATAGATGAAAGAATAATGGACTTAGTATCATAAGATGTGGGTTCGAACTCTGGTTCTGTTCATTACTAGCTGTGAATTTATGGGAAAATCTTTTAACATGGCTGGGACTCGGTTTCCACATCTTCGAAGAAGAGGTAATGATTATTTACAGCACTATGGTGAAAATTAAATGAGAAAATGTATACAAAATGCTTTGTAGCTGCAAAGTGGTATAAAATTAAAAGTATTCGATTATTATCCTCTTTTCATTTTGTTAGTTCTCCAGTTAAAATCAATCTCATTGTTGACATTTTTATTTTAGATATTTTGTTTTCCAACTACACATAAAAACAATTTTTGACATTTGTTTTTTAAAATTTCGAGTTCCAGATTTCCTCCCTCCCATGTGTCCCTCCCCCCTCACTGAGAAGATATGCGATTTGATATAGGTTATATATATGCAACCACACAAAACATATTTCCATATTAGTCATGTTATGAAAACAGGCATAGAACAAAAAGTAAAAACAAAAAAATGTTTAAAAAGTATGCTTCATTCTACATTCAGACTCTACCAGTTCTTTCTCTGGAGGAGAATAGCATTTTTTATTATAAGTCCTTCAGAATTGTCTTGGGTCATTGTCTTGATCAGAGTAGTTAAGTCATTCACAGTTGATCATAGTACAATATTGCTCTGTGTGTGTGTGTGTGTGTGTGTGTGTGTGTGTGTGTATGTGTGTGTGTGTGTATACTATATATGCTGTTCTCCTGGTTCTGTTCACTTCATTATGCATCAGTTCATATAAGTCTTTCCAGGATTTTCTGAAAGCATCTTGCTTGTCATATCTTACAGAGCAAAGGTATCCCATCACAATCATATACCAAAACTTGTTCACCCATTCTGAAATTCATGGGCATCCCCTCAGTTTCCAATACTTTGCCACTACAAAGAACTGCTATAAATATTTTTGTACATATAGGTTCTTTTCCGTTTTTAATCTCTTTGGGATATATACCTAGTATCACTGGGTCAAAGGGTACATGCAGTTTTATAGCCCCTTGGGCACAGCTCCAAATTGCCCTCCAGAATGGTGGAATCAGTTCATAATTCTACCAACAGTATTTTAGTGTCCCAGTTTTCCTACCTCTCCTTCAACATTTGTCATTTTCCTTTTCTGTCATGTTAGCCAATCTCATAGGTGTGAGGTAGTACTTCAGAGTTGTTTAAATTTGCATTTCTCTAATCAATAGTGATTTAAAGCATTTCTATATGACTATAGATAATTTTGATTTCTTCTGAAAACTGTCTGTTCTTATCCTTTGACCATTTATCAATTGGAGAATGACTTGTATTCTTATAAATTTGACTCTGTTCTCTATATATTTGAGAAATGAGGCTTTTATCAGAGAAACTTGCTGTTAATTTTTTTCACAGTTATGATTACTGTTCATTTCCTTCCATCCTACTTTCCCATTTATCCTCAGATATTTTCTTGTTTTGCTAGGAAAAGAATGTTGAAAGGAGGAAGACCTGGCTGCCTCATCATGGAAATGGGATGTCAATGACTGAAGAAATGAGCAGAAGAGTAGGACAAGTCAAAGACATGGTAAAAAATTGGTCATTTTGCCTGAGCATTCCTTGTAAACAGTATGCATGTCCTTCAAAACCCTGACCCACTGCACCAAAATCAGTCCACAAACATTTAATCTGTGCTTACTGTGCGCTAAGCACAGTGCTAACCACTGGGAATACAAAGAAACACACAAAAAAAAATTCCCTGCCATCAAGAAGCATACATTCTAATAGAGAACACAACATGCATATATAAGATATAAACATAGAGTAGTACAAGAAAAGAAACTAAGGAGACCAAGAAGGGCCTCCAGCAGAAAGTAGGATTTAAACCAAGTCTTGAAAGAAGCCAGGGAAACTAAGAGGGTGAGGTAAGGAAGCAAAGAATTCCAAATATGGGGGTAGGCAGAGAGATGGAGAGTCATGTTCAAGGAACTGCAAGCAGATCTGTAGAGCTGGATCATAGAGTGCATGGAAGGAAGCAAGGTATAAGAAGACTGGAAAAGTATAAGAGGCCAGGTTATGAAGAGCTTTAATGCCCAACAGAGCACTTTATGTTTGATCCTGGAAGTAACAGGAAGCCACTAGACTTCACCGAGATGGTATAGACATGGTCAGACCTATACATTAGAACAATCACCTTGGCAGCTCAGTTGAGCATGGATTAGAGCAAAGAGAGATATAAGGCAGAGAGATTAGTTAGAAAATGATTGCATAGTATAGGTGGAAGCTGATGAGGACTTGAATAAGAGGGGCAGCTGTATAAGTGTGAAGATTAGAATATGAAGAGAGATGTTGCAAAGGTTGAAACCATAATACTTGCCAATAGTTTAGATAGGTAGGTTGAATAAGAGAGGAGTTGGGGATAGCATGGAGCTTGCAAGTCTGTGTGACTAGAAGGGAGGCTGTGCCCTGAACAGCAACAGGAAAGTGTAAAAGAGAGAGCGGGTTGGAGGAGATAGAAAATAATTACATTTCTAAATCAATATTATGTCAAATTCTTGATGTTTCAAGAGGCTTCTGGGGACCACATCATCAGCAAAATAATACATAAGAACAAACTAAAAACCACTGCTTCCTTGGCATTCAAATGCTATGGAAATATGATTCTGTGAGAATTCATTTAGAAGTATTGTTTTCCCCAGCCCACAAAAGCAACAGAGGGCAGACTGACATCCAAAGCTACACAACTTTCAGAAGCAGACATTACCTCATGGTACATAGCCTCATTCAAGGTGGCACACAGTGAAACAGCTTCTATGGTATTCCATCATGTCAATTGTTTGGTTATGGGTTCAGAATGGGCCCTTTCCAGGCATTGCCATTGAATTACAATAAGAAACTCACTAAGACCATTTTCCCTAAGGTCACCTTCTAATCACCAAAGCTATTGGCTTTTTTTGAGTAGTCAATTTTCTTGACCCCTCTACATCAACTGATGTTATTGGCCAACACTTCTCCCAGATACTCTCTTCCTTTTGTCTCAAAAACAACACACACTCCCAATTCCACTCCTTACTCTCTATCTCCTCCTTACTCTCTATCTCCTCCTCTGTCTCCTTCACTAGCTACTCTTTTTCCTTACTTTTTGCTGTACATGTTCACCAGGGGTCTGATGTGGCCCCTCTTCTCTCTCTCTCCATGATTTCTCTCCTTTAGCAATTTTATTCACTAGAATGACTTCAATGACCACCTCAATGCTGATAACTGCCAAGTCTATATCTCTAATCAGGATTGTCTAATCACCTCTCTTCCAAGTTCCAGACCTTTATCTCCAACTACCTGGAGAACTCATTGACACCTGAAATTCAATATGTCCATAACTCAAGTTTATTATCTTTCCCCCTAAACCTATTTCTTCTTATTTCTGTTTCTGTTTCCAAAATTCACCAAGCCTATCATATTCATGCCTTCAAGCTTATCTTTTACTCTTTTCTTTCCCTCACCTACTGCTTTCAATCAGTTACCAAGTGTTTTTGGTTCTATCTTCACAATATCTCTCAAATCCATCCCTTCCTCACTATTACCTCTATTCTAATACAGACTTTGCTACCATCCATCTGCGCTACTGAAATTGTTCCTACTAGGTCAGTTTCCTCAACTCCACTCTCACCTCCCTCCAATCCATGCTTCTTATTGCTACCACCTGATATATTTCTTTTTTTTTTCTACTTTTTATTTTGAATTTAAACGTCAGAAAATGAGCATTTCCATACACAAAAGAGAACACAAAGAGCATTCTATACGAAACCTTGAATCACTTTTTCATGCCACTTCTTTTTCTAAAGTATGTAATAAATTCTGCTTTCAAAACTATCCTACTTGTTTGTGTGTCCTTTCGAACTTCTTTCTGTTCTCTTCCGTGCATTTTAAAAAATGTTTCAGTGACCCACTTTCTTGCATTATTATAACTAATCCTTCTCCCCCTGAATTTCCCCTCAATTAAAAACTGAAAGAAAAAATAAGCTTTTATAACAAATAAGCATAAGAGGACTTCTGGACAAGATGGCTGACTGAAATGAAGCTAATCACACAGCTCCCCTACCTACTTCAACAAAAGCTTGAGGTTTGCATCAGACATAATCTAATGAGAAAGTTTAGTAAATAACTTCTTTCACCCCAGAGCTGCACAAGAGCCAGAAGTATGAGGAAAACAGAAACAGAGGCATTCCAGCAGGCCAGAGCAAGCACAAGCTAGCCTCCCAAAAAGAGCAGAGGCAGACAAAGGATATATGTAGACTGCAAGATTCTGTGTCCCAAGGCAGAAAACAGCTGATGTTTCCCCAGAAAAAGCCTCAGAGTAGTCAAAAAGCCCCATGGTGGGGACCTTCAGAGCTTCTGGAGGGACATCTGTCAGTGACTCATGCAGTAGGGTAGCACTCCAGACCATATGCTTTATTCCTTATACATAACTTTATCCATGCTTAAAATTTTTAGGTTCTTATTACCTATTGAGTGAAGTTAAAACTCCTTTATAAGGCATTCAAGGTCCTTCATGATCTGGATATATCCTGCATTTCCATCCTTATCTCTCATGTTATTCTCCACCACACACTCTATGTTCTAACCCAGTGGTTTTCACGGTGTGGTCCAGAGACTAATATTTAAATTTTCTGATACAGTAAATAGTGATAGATAACCCATATAAACAAAAGCTCTTTATGGGCACAGTCCTCAATAATTTGGAAGAATTGTCAAAGGTTCTAAGGTGTTTTTAGTATTATAAATACCCAAATTAACTGTAAAGGACATATGATGAAAGATGCTATCTGCATCCAGAGAAAGAACTGATAAATAGAGGTATGTATAGAATAATTTTACACATATATGTATGTGTATTATATATATATATATATATATATGTGTATATTACATATATATGTATGTGTACATATGTATCTAATAGTAGCCATCTCTAGGGCAGTGGGGAGGGAAGAGAAAAAAGGAAAAGAAGGAAAAGAAAAAATATATACATGATAAGTTTATTATATATTTAAAAGGAATAGCAAGTTGTATAAAATAGATTTGCAGTTTCATGTGCAATCATCTTTTTTTATTATACTATGTTATGGAATTGTTTGTTTTATTCCATAAACTAAAAATAAAATAAATAAAAATTTTAAAGTGTCAAAAGGTCCTGAGACCAAAAGTTTGAAAACTATTGCTCTAGTCAAACTAAACTACTCTAGCCACAAATATGCTCCATGATCTCTTACCCCTATGTCTTTGCCTCACTACTCCTTATGCTTAAAATGTCTTTTCTGCCTCTCTAACCATTGAATTGCTATCTGTTCTTTAAAATCCAACTCCAAAGTCACCTCCTCCTCTTCTCACCCCTTACACTCCATTTTATACCTCTCTGGTTAATTTATAGTGTTATCATGTGTTGTAGTTACCTGTGTTTGTGCCTTATCTTTTTACGTCAGTAAGTTTCATGAGGGTAGGGACTATATTAGCCCCAGCACCTAACACATTGCCTTGAAAGCAGTAGGCTTTTAAATGTTTGATGAATGCCTTCTCTTCCTGGAATTAAGGTATACTGGAGATTTCTTTGATCTTGAACATCACTTCTCTTTGCTGTCCTTATAGTCAAAGCACTTTGCAAGTAACTCAGTTCTATTTCTTTGCTTCCTTTCTCAGTACTGAAATGCCAGTTCCTGTGGGTGATTGCAGACGGTTTCTTTGCCTAGAGATCATCTCTGGCCTCAAAGCAGCTGAGCTGCAAATGGAACTGTGTGTGCTGCATAATACTGTAACATTTCCAGAGTCCACGAAGATTTATTCAGTGATCAACTGCTTTAGCGTGTGAGTCACTCCAGAGAGGTAGCGTGTTCAAGAGGGGACCTTGAGGGAGATGGAAAAGTAAACAAGAAGTGAACTAATGCTCTCACTCTTTCTCTCTCTTTGTCAACCTTTGAAAATCCTAAAATGAGAATTGCCATGAGCTTTCTCAGCTTCAGAGGAAGATTGAAGGGCAAAGAAACCAGCACTTTGGATGGTAGCAAAGAAGTGGAAAGAAAGAAATCAATCAAACATTTATGAAGTGCTTACTATGTGCCAGGCACTGTGTTAGGTTCTAGAGACACAAATGCAAAAAGTAATACGGCGTCTGCCCTTGAGGTGCTAACATTCTACTGGGGAGGAACATATGCACATGGAAATATATACAAAAGTGAGTGCAAAATATATACAAAGTACATAAATACGAGGTCATTTGTGAGGAGGCAATAGCAGGTGGGGGCAGAAAAGTATATAGCTCAGTAAGAAATAACAAAAATGAGAAATTCAGAGAAAACTAGAAAAGACTGAATGAACTGATGTAGAGTAAAATAAACAGACCTAAAAGAATAATAGCACAGTAACTATAATAATGTAAATTAAGTAATCACTGAAAACAAAGCCAAACTCTGAATAATTGAAAAACTAACAATAGTCTCTAGATAATGAAACATCCTTTTGTCCCCTCAGCACAGAGGGAGGAAGCCATGAAGGCAAAATGTTAATTCTGTCATTATACATGGTCACTTTTCCTAGTTATAAAGCTTGGCTCAATTTGGGGGTTGGAGTACATGGGAACAGGTACCTCCAGAAATGACTGTGATGCAAAAACAAACAGCATCAGAAAAGAACTCACAGGGGCAGCTAGGTGGCACAGTGGATAGAGCACTGGCCCTGGATTCAGGAGGACCTGAGTTCAAATACGGCCTCAGTTATGTAACACTAGCTGTGTGACCTTGGGCAAGTCACTTAACCCCATTGCCTAGCCAAAATTAACTAATTAATTAATTTTTTTAAAAAAAGAAAGAAAAGAGCTCACAGCTCCCTTGTGAACTTCCTTCCCACTTTGGAAGGCTGGAGGTTGTTCATCCGAAAGGTGAGTAGTCAACATTTTGGTGCTTAATGTAACTGGAAAGTCAATACAATAAAGGATTTTTAATATTTGAAATCAACACAAAACCAGCATAGCTAATAGGATAATTGCATTGGACACTACTCATTAGGCAGGCATTCTCCTGCTTATTTAGAATTTGTGTAGAAAATGAGAATTAAGAATTGCCAATTATTAACAACCATATGAAAGAATGCTCCAGATCACTAGTAATAAGAGAAATACATAATGAAACAATCCTGAGATTTCACCTCACATCCTGAAAATTGGCTGAGATGATAAAAGATGGATATAGTCACTGTTAGAATGGTTATATGAAAATAGGTACACTATCCAATCCAACCCAATAAACATTTACTAAGCACCTACTATGTGCCAGGAACTGAGCAGCAGATGCAGAGAAGATTGAGTCAAAAAGTCCAGTTTCTGCCCTCCATAAAGGAAGGCATTGGGATGAGTTTGGTACACCATCCTCCAGTGGTCCAATCAGAGGGAAGATGAAGCTCAGGGAGGTGCTGTCGATAAAGGCTGGTGTTAGCAGGATGGTGATGAGATAAGGTGTGATGAGCTTAACCTGGGAAGTTCTGAGGAGTTCAGACCTGGGAGCCCAGCAGATACACAGCTGTTAGTGAAGCTACTGTAAATCAGTACAACCATTCTGGAAACCATTATGGAATCATGCAAATAAAGTGATTAAAATGTTCATATCATTGGACCTACTAGGTTTATACTCCAAGGATGTCATCGATAAGAAGAAAGTATCCAAATATACTTAGAGCAGAACTTTTTGTGATAATGAAGAATTCAAAACAAAGTAGAAACCCAATCATTCCGATGGCACCTATCACTTCCAAGATTAAATATAATTTCCTCTGTTTGGCACTCAAAGTCCTTCATAACTCGCTTCTACCACCTTTCTGGTCTTCTTATACTCTGCCATGTACTCTTTGATCCAGTGACCCCAGCTTCTTTACACTTCCTCAAACAAGAAATCCTATCTCCCAATCCCAAGCATTTACAGTGCCTGTCCACCATGTCTGAAAAGCTCTCCCTCCTCATCTCTATCCCCTGGCTTACCTGACTTTCTTCAGATCCCAACTAAAATCCCACCTTTAGCAGGAAGCCCTTCCCAATCCCCCTTAAGTCTAGTGACTTTCTGCTGTTGATTACTTCCAATTTATCTTGCTTATATCCTTTTTGTTTGTATATTGTCTCCCCCATTAGATTGAGAGCTCCTTGACAGCAGGGAATATCTTCTGCCTTTCTATGGATCATCATTGCTTAGCACAGTATGTGGCACATAGTAGATAGGTAATAAATGTTTAAAGATGAACTTGAATATTACTGTGCTGCCAAAAATGAGGAATATGATGAATACAAGGAAGCATGGAAAGATTTACAAGAACTAAAGCAGAGTGAAGTAAGCAAAGTTAAGAAAATAACCAACACAATGACCATAACTATATAAAAAGAAAGAACAACCACAAAACAATCAAAAGTGGTTTGCAAAATTACAAAGAACAAGCATGGCTCCAAAGAAGAAATATGAGAAGAAATATGAGAAGACATCTCTCCCCATGCCACTTTACAGACATGGGAAGTACACAAGTGTAGTAAATTGCAAGTATTTTCAAACTTTGTCAACCGTTTTGCTGATTTTTTATCCCTTTTTCTTATTCTTTTTTTCTTTAAAAAATATTTGTTACATAAGATGTGAGAGAATTGGAAAGAGAACTTTTTTGTCACTGAGTCATTTTTTAGTTATGTCTGACTCTTTGTTACCTCATTTGGGGTTTTCTTGGTGAGGATACTAGGAAAGTTTGACATTTCATTCTCCAGTTCATTTTGCAGATGAGGAACTGAGGCAAATAAGGTTAAGTGCTTTGCACAAGGTCACACAGCTAGTATGTGCCTGAGGCCAGATTTGAACTCAGGAAGTCTTCCTGACTCAAGGCCTGGCACTTTATCCACTGCACCACCTACCTACTCTGGAAGAAATTGTGGTTAGGAGGATGAAAAAAAAAAAAAGATAGGAATAAAAATGTATTTCATTTTAAAAATCAGAATTAAAGATCTGTTTTAGAAGTGTAGAGTCTAAAGTAGTAAATACTGTCCTCTAACTCCTTCCTTAAGGAAACTCAACCTGGAGGCAGGTAAATTACAGGAATGAGGATCTGTGTGGAGTGACACAGATAGAATGAATCTTAAAGGCAAAGAAGTTGCATAATAATGACCACAAAGGGAGGGATTAGAATTGGCAGTGGGGAGCAAAGAACAGGAAAACTCTTGCTCCTGGTCCAGTGCCCAGTGGGTTAGGAGGTCAGGAATATACTGGAAAGTGTGGCTAGGAATGCGATATTAAACCATTTCTCCTCCCCTACTCCAAACCAGGAGCACACTTTTCCACAAACACATGTAAACTCAGTGGGAAGATTGGGAACATGTAAGGAACACATGTAGAGAGTCCCATAATTAGAGAACAAAGATGGCTGGGCATGACAGGCACATATAAGGGAATATATATATACACTATGTTGCTCCTTATAGGCCTGCTTCTGGTGGTCTCTGGGTAGCACCTAGCCTCTGTCCGACATTGCTTCCTGCTTGTCTTGAGTGGCTATAGCTTGAGTTGTTCAGGTGTTCCTATGGCTGCCATTGGTCGTCAACAATTACAGGTTCACCTTTCTGCTTCAAGCTACTGGCTTCAGCTGGAGTCCTCAACTGAATTGTTACCTCTTCATCATAAGAGTAGTAGGCTCTGCCATTGATCTTTTTGCTTAAAGCCCAGAAGCATTTCCTGTTGCTACAGCTCTTTTAGGAAAGCAAAAGCCCTAACATAACCAATCAGTGAACTAGGGAGAAAGCTCTGGTGATTTTTCTCCTATATGGAAAATGTCTGTCTGTTTCTCTAAGCCTTGGTTGGAAGCGGCATTTCCTCTCCAGAAGCTGGTTCCTTATCCCAAGCACCAATTTCTATGGAATATAGAGAAGACTCTGATAACTAGAACTTTCAGGAGTTATTCTATTTTTACCTGTATTCCCTGCTCCTCTAAAAGTTCTACTCTGATGCTCCATCATGGAACAACTGCAAATACAGAGGAGATGAAAAATAGTGACTGCTGAGGGAGAAATTGGAAGTGGCAATGGGGAGTAAGGAGCAAGCAGACTCTTCCTCCTGGCCGGATGGGTTAGAGAGTCACAATGGAAGTTAGTGTTCTTGCATACACACGTGTGTGTGTTTATGTGTGTGTGAGTGTGTGTGTGTGTGTGTAGGTGGCCCAACATTCTTGAGGTTCTAGCAGGTTCAACCATGCTGAAATGACTTTAAGTATGGCCCCAGTAATTGACTGTTTGTTTTCTGAGGAATGACCTAGCTCATTATGTCACATATCCCCAACAGCTGACTGGATATTTTCCAACTGGATGTCCAATAGGAATCTCAAACTCAAAATTAAATTTATTACCTTTACCTCTAAATTAATATCTCTTCCTAACTTCTCTGTATCTGTCAAGGACAACACCCACCACCCCAATCTGCTTTACTCTTACACACGTGCACACACACACACATCGTCTCTCTCTGTCTCTCTCTGTCTTTGTCTCTCTCTCTCTCACACACACACACACACACACATACACACAATACTTTATATTTACTTGGTATATATTTTGTATTTACTCATGTGTATTTCTCCCCAAGTAGAATGTAAATACCTTGATGGGGGGGGAGAGAGACAGAAAGAGAGAGAGAGGCAGAGACAGAGAGACAGAGAGAGGAGGTCATTTTGTTTTTGTACCGTAGGTGCGTAGCATGGTAACTAAAACAAAGTAGGTTTTTAATTAATATGCTGAGTTGAATTTAGTTACTTCCATGATAAGTACACTTTGGGTGTACTTATAAAGGAAGCTCCTTTATCTGATCACCCAGGTCCTTTGAGGAACTTCAGTCTGACATG